TAAGTAAATCTATACTTACGAGACGTAAGTATAGTTAATCTAAGTTTAAGCAAACTACGCTTCCTCATACACGTGCGCTAACGTGTAAGCCGAAGTAGTGGGCACGTAGCAAGCCCACTACACGTAAGCTGGGTGTGGTCTGGCAGTGTATCCGTACATGTGTGCGAATGCCTGCCCGGTGACACGAGACGGCTTAGAAAAGCGCTTACAATTGTCATGTGACTGCTACAGAATGAACTAGAGCCGTGATTTGGCCATGAGCAAGGCCCAATATCACCTTAGCGACTTAACTCGAGCTCCGTATGGATACACAAGTGCGAGGTAAGCTTTATTGCAAAAAATGTAGGAGTGTTGCGTTATCACGAGCTAGAATACGAGAACATGAGGAACTATTTGATCCCTCACCACACTGTTTCTTCTTTCGTCGACAGCTATCGCACGATGAGGCTCTGGCTCTTTTGAGGTTGTTCGGCGGCTTGGTCAACTGCATCCAAGGCTTGACGTTTTTTCTCCTTGTTCAGCTTGCACCGCACCGCACCGCATTAGCGTTTCTTACCTGTTCGGATATCACTCACGGTACTGTGCGTGAATATTACCCCATTAGTGAGGCTTCTTTTGAGAAGAATCGGCCATGGAAATGAAAAAGCTAAGGTCCATCTTCATGTCAACATCCTGGACCACTCGCTGCTTGTATTCTTTGAGTCGAGGAGTACACAAACACCCAACTGAAACGCATTGTGGTCTCTACGCTGCCTCCTGACTCTCAGGAACCCACACAATGAAAGGTCTACCAAACAAACTCGACAAGGGCACCAATTCATCGCTCACTCGTTGTGCTTCAGGGTAGATTAGCTGTGGGGGAAACGATCTCGCCCTGAGGGCTTCTTGAATTATCCGTTTGCATCCTGTCTGCTCCATTGGCCTTAAGTTAGATTGTGATGGTCAGGGTACTTCACATTGCTTGCTACTTTATTTTTTTTACCGTTTTGAGCGGGTGGAGATCGGATGGCGGAGCGGGCACTGGGTGGGTCGGGGCGGAGATAACCCGCGCCAGCCCAATGGCATCCTCGCCAGTTCTCCTGGAGACGCCTCTCCAATCTCCATGTCGGTCTAGAACAAGCGAGGCGTCGCTCAGATACCCAGCGTCAAAAGCACCGCTCGCAGTTACAGACATAGGGGCGTCGTGACCTGGTGTCTCAAGATCCTTTCCGGTCGTCATCGTTGCTGCCAAGCAATAGCTACGTGCCGGTACGATGCGTCAACCATCTGTGGACTCGTGCCGCAACTCGCTCATGCATATATATTGCAATGTAAACTGTTCCCCTACGGAGGCGCATGTGGTAATGGCCTCGTCGAGTCGGACAAGGCGTACCTGGCTCGGAACATGCGCACCAACACGCTAGCCGTAGTTGCAGCCGACGACGCCGGCGAGGTCTTGGGTCAATATGTCGGCGAGATAGAGGACATCAGCGCTTCGCGGTCTCAACGACCTCGCAACAGTGATTATCGACTGGTACTGAGTCAGAGGCCGGAGAGGCTGACCTGGCCGATCCGCGCTGCAACCAACGTCGAGAGGGTGGGTGGGCTAATGCGGTCCGTGAACCACGCGTGTGGGCCGGTTGCCAAGTTCGTCGAGGTGGGCAACGTTCATCGCCTCGCCGTAGCCGTCGCAAGTACGCGACAAGAGGTGACGGTCGACTACAGCGACGATCAGTGGTTTATATGCCGGTGTAGGTCGCCGAGATGGCGCCACCGCGATTTGCAAGACGAGAAAGATCCATGAGAAGGCTCATACGGATGTATATGTGCAATTGTATAGGAGGTTTAAGTTCAAATACGTTGAAGTTTCATGTTCGATATAGCATTTGCACTTGCTAAAGTTCGTCGTATGCGGTCGCAGTCACAGCCGAAAAGTCGACGTTGGATTTGGCGTGTGGCGCCAGGTAGATTCGATAAGAAGGCGCGCAGTTTTGCCGCCAAGTGCTGCGGCAATTCCTTGATAGTATTCAAGCGGTTTGCGCGCGCGCAAATTTTGCATGCTGTATGTTGAAGCTGCTGACTATCAACACCTTTTAAAGATTCAAGTGTACATGTATTGATAGTCAAGATGGCGCTATCTCTAGTACGCTGGTGGCGAAGCGAGCCCGATTGCGTCGCTCACTTTTCCTTTTACCACGCGGCAGACACTTTACCGCTCCAACCGTACTTCGCATCCTCCTACTTCACGCTGTACGCTGACCCCGGTGCTCTTACCTGTATCCATGGGGATGCTGACTGACGTGTTCCTGTCTGTGCTGTAGATGGTTAGGGACACTGGGACCAGTAACCACTCATTGGCCGACATTGATCGCCTCTTGCTGCTCGTTGAAAAGACGCCCCCACTGGGGGAGGACAAGTGGGACCGTCTGGCGCTGTTTTACAACGCTAATAGACCTCGTGGAGCACCTGGGAGAGACTTTGAGAGCTTGTGACACAAGTTCAAAGTCTTGTACGGCACGCGTAAGCCGGGCATACCGGACATGCCTCCTCGCATCAAGAAGGCGAAGGACGTCAAGCGAGCCATCGACGAGAAGGCGAGTGTGGTCGAGCTAGACGACGGAGCTGACGACGACCAGCGTGCTGTCGAAGCAGGCTTCTACTTCGATGTAGACCCCGACGACACTTTCTACGAAGACGGCGAGGGCGAATCCTCGCGCGAGTCTGCGCGTACAGCAAGCACAGAACTCTTTGAAGAGCACATCGTCCGACTTAAGGACAACAGTTTACATAGCGCGCTCATGCAGAACCAACACGTGGAAGATTTGAGAAAAAAACTTACTATATCAACATTTCAGTTCATTTACTGCATGAGAAAGTTTGTAATTGTCCTCCCGGTTGATTTTTGACCAATGAGAATTTAGTTGTTTCTTTTGCTACCAAGTCTTACCACAAAAATAGTAGTTTCACGAAAAACAAAATCAGGTGTCTTGACGTTAAGTCGAGAGCAGTTCGGAATTGTGCCAAAGCATTTATTTTGTGAGGTACGGTAGTCAATTTGTAACGGGATTACACGTGTGTGGCGCACACATGGGTACGGAGTACCCGAAGAGTTGACAGACTCTCAGTACATGACTCGTAGAGTTAACAGTGGCCTCAGTACATAGGCTGAGGGCCACACGATATGCATTTGATTAGGTTTAACTATGCTAGATAGTTAAACATAGATAGCGGCTTA